AGGATCAAACCAAATTGACTCACTTTATTTAGCATAGGGTTGATGGCTTCAATCCCTGTTGTAGAAGAACAACACACAACTTCTTTTAAGTTTCTTAGTCATCAGGAGATGCTGTTGCCAAGAGAAACAGGGAAGGCTTGAATTTAAAGGAGACAGAGGGTAGAGAGTTGTTGGGTTACATTTGAAGAATGTTATGGGTGTAAAGTCTAACAGGACTTAGCTACTGGTCTAATGTGAGAGGAGGAAGGAGAAAGTACAGGGCCTGGCCTCAGATTTCTGCCCCGTACACATAAGTGCTCTCTACTGCTACTAGTCAAGAGACAGAATATTGAAGCAGAATCTGAATTGGGTGAGACTGCCAATGATGCATTCAGCTATGTGAGTGGTGAAATAGAAGTGCCTTGAGACTATGGAGGTCAAAGGGAAGGGGTATAGGAAAGAGTAAGTTCAGAGTGATAGAGTTGGAACTAAGTCAGATGTAGTATATGTTAGGGTCCAGTTAGGTAGGACCAGTAAGCCACCACAGCTGGAATCTCAGTGCTCTTAGTGGTAGGTTTTAGATGCCTGTGAAACTGTCGGGTAGGCAAGTATGTATACATATATATATAAGCATTTGAAGCTCAAGAGCAGATTCCATTTCCTCGGCTTCTATATCTGTTACTTCATAGAATATTTTAGGTTAATTTTAAAAAGCATTGAACAAATGAGCAGATGTCAGTATATAATATTATTGCCAATAGTTTGTATATAAACCAGCAGCTGGTTGAGAATTAGTTCCAAAGCAGAGAATTGACTTTTTTTCTGGATCTATTTTATATAGTTTTTGATCAATGCATCTCAGTGTTTACCTGAGTTGAAATATTCCTCTTAGAGTCATGAATGAATATACCAACATTTGGTTAATGTTAATAGAAATGTTTTGTCATTGTGTTCTGGTCCCTGTGCTCAGTTGACAACTGTTCCTTGCAACCACTACCATATTCCAATTTATTGTATCATACACTTAAAGAGATTTATGATATTCCAGGGCTTTTGCTGGACTTATTTTCTATTAATACTTGTAGATAGGAGACATTTCTTACACTCAGAGCATTTGTACATTGAGGCAGCATGTTCTGTGATAGAAGTTTGAAACTAAAGAAGTCTGAACTATCTTCCCACTTACTTACTAGAAAGTGAAATCTAATTTATCGCAGGATAGAACCAGATTTTATTCATTCATATTATCTTGAGAGTTTGCCAGAATCCAAGTTGTTATGGCAGAGACATATAATTATTCATTGTAAAGCACAACATCGAGTTTTAGTTGCGGGCTACACTCTTTTCTTTGGGGTAACAAGGCAGCGCATGCTCCCTTCTCACCAATGTGGATCTTACATAAGTGCCATGTCTAAAAATACATTCAAAACAGTATGAGACCCATAGGGATGTGGTGGTTGGTTGTTCTTGGTTTCTTCTGTCAAGCAGAGCATCTTAGAAAAGGAGGTGTTTGAATTGGTCGCATAGCAAGTAAAAAGAAATCAAGCAGTTCTGGATTAGAATCACGATTCTTCTACCCCGTCATTGGTTGGTACCTAACGTTTCAGAGTCTCTGTTTGCTCAGTAATATATGAAAAATAGTATCTTCCTTGCAAGGGTCATTGTGAAGACTTTGTTTATTTTCACAGAAGGGCCTACAGATGTCTTTTCTGGGATCATTTTTTTGGGGGTGTGTGTATGTGTGTGTGTGTGTGTTTTAATCAGTGCCTAATAGCACTATATGCACAGAATTATACTGTTCCTCCTGTAGCCATGAATGAAGACCAGAATGCTCTTTTTCCAGCTGTACTCTGAATTTGTTGAATACCTGTTCTGATTATGCAGTGTATGCCAAGTGCCAAGCACAGAGTAGAATTTCCTTAGTGGATTTGTTCTGGGTCCAAAGTGTAGCGGGCCTGCTTCTTAGAGACTGCTTTATATTCAGCAAACTCCCAGGCTACTATATTGTTAGTTTATAAGGAGAAAAACATCTCATAGGTGGCTACAAGCAGTACTCAAATCTCCATGTCCAATCTGCATGCTCTGTTGTAGAGTCTGTCCTACATAGGTGATCATAAGCAGAGAATGTTTGGAAAACCTGGAGTCAAACCAAGAATATGTTTCTCAGACTTTTGTTTATAGAGCACCTGAGGCTGACCAACTCACTTTCTATGTGATACATTGTATGGTCAAGCCTTGCTAACCTTGAACCCATTTTATTGCTCTTCAGTTTAAGTTCTGTGAAGCTGTCATTAATCCTTTTCAAAACAGCTATAATTCTCTTATTCCACTCTGTCATACTCACCTGTCAAAACCTCAGCCCTGGTTAAAACCAACTATTGGTCAGCTTACTTGGCTTTGGCCTTCTCTTTTGTCTTCATTTTATTTGCAGGTGACATCCAGTCCCGTGTATTTAAATACTTCAGTTGGTCGCTCTGACATTTCTACCAACAGTGCTGCCCTCTCCTAAGCTCCAAACTTATATCCAAATGTCTCCTTGATGGTTCATGTTGGAAGACTTTACGATCAAACACGTGTACAGGATTAACATGACTTTATTTTTTTTTTTTTACTACGCCTGCCTCTTATGTGTGCCTATTTGTTCCATCTAAAACTCTAGTTTTCCTGTGTTCTTCACTTTCCGGTTGTCTTGCATATAATATCCAAATGTCCCAAAAGTGCCCTTTTCTCTCGTTCACCACTACGTTGGGGTCCATGCCACTAGTGGTTCTTCTTGGTCTGTTACAGTGACCTGACTGGTCTTTCTGCCTTCACTCCTACACACTCCCCCAACCCTCTGTGTGCAAGAGCAGAGCGAACTTTTTAAAATAAAAGTCACATGCCTTAGGTAATCCTCCCATGTCCCACTCTCTTGGCTCATTGAATTCCTGTCTTCAGGAATCTTGTCCACTACCTTACCTCAGCCTCTCACTCTGGTCTTACTCATTTCCAGTAATCGAACCCCCTCCCTAATTGTGTGTATCCTTCTCTGACCACAGCTCCTGTCTTTCCAGCTGACTTTCTGTAGTATCCCAGATCCAGTAATCCTTGGATCCCACTAGGACCTTCAAGCCACTACAGACAGGCTGTCACCTCCATGACCCACCAAAGTATGCCATGCCCTCCTAGTTCACCGTGTACCTGACTTAGCAGCCACACTTCAACCTGGACCCCTGACTGCTCCCCATCTCCCTGACCCACTGAGATTAGCAGGTTACCTAATCCATCTTCCCTGTCTGCTAGGCCAGCCAGGACCTCCCCTTGAACTCCACTGGGCCCTTACTGGCGTGCTCGACAGCTCCACTTAGATTTCTTGTATTCTTCTGGCATTCTTTCTGACCTTCACCCACCAACCTGTTCCTCTCACACTTTTTGTCATTTCAGTTTAATGGCAGCTATTAACTATCAGCATATCCTGTTGGTTCTGTGTTTAAAATAAATCCATTGGAGTCTAGTTACTCTTAAAAAAAAAAAAAAAGAAAGCTAGGATCTGACTACTTCTCACCCTCTTTCTGGTTCTGTACTTGTGCCAACTGTCTCCTCCTGCCTGTATTATTTGGGCTGCCCCGACTTGGTTTCTCCTGCTCCTTTCATACTGTTCATAACACAGTGGCCAGAGTATCCCTGTTAAAACCTCATTCAGGCTGGGCGCGGTGGCTCATGCCTGTAATCCCAGCACTTTGGGAGGCCGAGGCAGGTGGATCACTTGAGGTCAGGAGTTCAAGACCAGCCTGACCAACCTGATGAAACCCTGTCTCTACTAAAAATAAAAAATTAGCCGGGTATGGTGGTGCACACCTGTAATCCCAGCTACTCAGGGAGGCTGGGGTAGGAGAATGGCTTGAGCCTGGGAGGCAGAGGTTGCAGTGAGCTGAGATCACGCCACTGCACTCCAGTCTGGGGGACAGAGTGAGACCCTATATCCAAAAAAAAAAAAAACCTAAGTCAGATAATGTCACTCCTCTGCTCAAAGTCTCCTGAGGACTTGGCAACTCCTCGGGGTCAAAGTCAAGTTGTTACCATGACCTGCATTCTCTTGCCCCTCTTCCTTACACCTCATCATGTTCCCTTTATCCATGGCCTCCTCAGGCTGCTTCACACACCAAGGACTAGGGGTTTGCTGCTTGGAAAGCATTTCCCTCCACTATGCAGATTTCCATGTGTATAAGTAGAAAACTCAAATAAGCAAAAAAGGACCAGAAGACCACCTATCATCTTACTTCATGATAAAAGCGAAAGCATCTTTGCTTTAAGTCATTCGTGGATACATTGCTGTGTGCTCACCAGGACCCACACGTGTGCTCTTGCCTTTTAAAGGCATCTGTACTCTACGCTGACTTTTTTGTCATCTTTTTTCATGTAACAATGTGATATTAGTTTTAATGCCAGTAAATTAGTTCTCCAAAACAGTTCTTGAGGCTGCATAGAATATTGGTTGAGAAGATAGATACACCATAATTTACGTAACCGGGCTCTATATTACTGTAAACAGTTCTGCAGTGAATGTCTTTGTTCCTGAATCTTTGCATGTATCTCAAAGATAATGTCCTGGAATTTTATTTTCTGGATCAAGCATTGTAGTTTTTTAAAAGTTTTTGATTTGTGCTGTCCTTCAGAAAGATATACTGTTTTTTCCCTCCTAACAGTGGAATGTGCGAGTACCTTTATACCTTTTGCCTGGTCTTTTCTGAGTCATGTGCACATATAGGACAAACTTCTGTTTAAGAAATAAAACTCTATACATGAACTTTACAGGTAAAAATGGTTAAAATGGTAAATTTTGTGTTATATGCATTTTGCCACAATTAACAGAAATAAAGCTCTGATAAATACATTTATGGTTATTTGACAAGTATACTTTTTGGCAGTAATATGACTGTAGGTGTTAGTATGTAGTTGGTAGGAGAGAAATCTTACTATTATTGTTTTGGTCTTTACTCATTGCTGAGTTTTTCAAGGTTTTTGGTAATTTTGTCATGCAGGCCAAAACACTAAGAAAACTGATCCAACAAACATTTAGACAATTCGCCAACCTTAATAGAGAAGAAAGTATTCTGAAATTCTTTGAGATCCTGTCTCCAGTCTACAGATTTGATAAGGAATGCTTCAAGTGTGCTCTTGGTGTAAGTATGGAAATGTGGGAAATAGTGGGCTAGTTTGATTTTACTTTTTCTTATCTCTTACTGTATATCTAAATTTTGGATGAAAAAAATGCTAACTTGTCCCATTTTTTCAATGAAATGATATTTTGTCGTTTTACCATGTGAAAAATAGAAAAAGAAAATAATGTGAGAATAAAATCACCTTTTTAAAAACAGCATGCCTATTTTCATAATTAGATTTTTTTAATTTTATCCCTGTGATTTGTTAATTGTTATCTAAGGGCTAGTTTACCTATTTAGATAATCATCCCAGAGGAACTCTTGACATCAGGCATGTTGAAATAAGCACAGTGCATCTTTGTGTAGGCTTAACAGATCCTGGGTCAATTATAGATATTTAAATATTTTATCTTATTTGGTTAGATAGATTAATAGCAAACCAAACCAGCACCTGCTTTGGTCCTTTAACATATCCATGGCTCTTTATCTAAAGTATTTCTTTTTTCCTTCTGCCACCTCTGTTCTCACTTGTTTCACCTTCAAAAGTCAAGCTGGATTATTTCAGTGGAATTGGCAATCGGCCCAGAAGAAGGGATCAGTTACCTAACGGACAAGGGCTGCAATGTAAGTCTGCTCTGACCTTTCGGGAACTTGGCTTTAGACAAAGAAGAATCAAATTAAGGAAATGGGGCATTCTTTTGGAAAAGATCATTTTACAATTAAATTTTCCTATTGCACTGCATTTATTATTCAACAGAGTGGAGCACAAGTAAGATAAAGTCTAGGCGCTGTTGAAATACCTCGGAATTACTTAGTTTTGGAAGGAAAGGAATCATACAAATCTTACATGTGTTAGTGAGACCTGAATGGGGTTGTTACTGTTTATCTGGAGAAGTTTTAAATGCTAATTTTTAAAATTAAGTTCTGTATATGATTTGGGTATATTTGTACTGACATCTTACCCTCTGAAACAGCCTCTTCAGGTTATTTCCAGGAAAAAAATATTATACATTCACAATTCTCTTGAAAGCCTTATTAGCCTTATTTACCTTGAGGAAAAAATGTCCATCAGATGGAAACTCACACTTCTACCCCAGACCTCACTTCTTTTGTTACTTTCCTAGCAGAAGGGCTGACCATTACCTGTGTGATCCTTCTCATTCTTCCAACAAGTATTACTGAGAACCTGCTTGGTGCCAGGCAGTCTAGAGGTTTGAGATACAATAAAGAACAAAACAGAGAGAAGTCCTTTGTCTTATATAGCTTGTAGTCGAGTACACAAAATAAATATGGAATACATCTGTGTCATACAACAATAAGTACTGAGATGAAAAGTAGAACAGTGTAAGGGTGGGCATACTCAGAAGGGCATACTCCCATTTAGATGAGTGTTCAAGGAACATGATTCTAGGGGGTTCTCAGGCCTTGCACTAGTTAACAGTTCTTTTCCACTTACATAGTTTAGTGATTTGAACTTTTTACTTAATTTATTCATACCTTGACCTGTACATATAATTTTCTATACATATATAAATGTGCCAAACCGTGTCTCACCTGCTTTTTTCCAAGTGTACTCTGGTTTCCATTCCCACTCTGCTCACCTCCTGCCTCTACCATTTCTCTATTCTTTTCTCTTCAGCCTTCTCTGTAACCCCCCCACCCCCTGCCCATGCTTAACATGTAAGTGACTTAGTAATCTTCTATGTTTTTCCCCATATTCCTGTTTTGTTATTCAGAAAGGGGGTCATCATCAGGCACACTGTCCTACTTGGTTACTTCACTCTGTGAACCTGGTAGAAATTTTTCAACCCCCCCCCCCTTTCTTTGCCCCTTCCTCTCTGGGGGCCAGATGGGATTCTGTGAAGGGCAATTACTTTGCTTTTAAATTTCTGCCCCAAGACAATGACATAATAAATACTCGTTTATATGTATCTATGTGCTGCTGCTTTTTCTCCTTGTGGAAGAGATGTCCGAGGATGGAAGTGCAGGGTTCATTCAAATAGTTGTAATTTTAAAAGAAGCTGTTGGATTGCTTTTTCAGAAAAGCTAGAAAACTTCATATTGTTACTGGCAGTATATGGGAGTACTATTTTCACACTCATTGGATAGCAGTTCTAATAGCTCTTTTAATGTTTCCATTTTAATAGGTGTAAAGTTTTTCTTGTAACTTTTTTGCTCACTTAGATGTAAAGCAAGGACCTAGTAACTTTAAACATGTTTTCGTGTCTTGGCCATTTCTCTTCTCACCTCTGTGAATTAACTGCTTATATCATATACTTTGTCTTTTTTACCAACACAATTGTCCTTTTAAATTAGTAAATCTCTTCACACATCAGGGAAGTCAGTGTGTTTTCCTGTTATCTTTTTTTATGATTTTTTTCCCCCAAATCTTGTGTTGGCTGTTGACTTTAAACAGACCAGGCTGCCTTGTCCCACACCCTAAGGATGACCACTGTCCTGACTTCTACCATCACTGATTAAATCTCATTCAATGCTGCTGTGTCGGCTGGATATTCACAGAGGAAAACAGAATACATTTTTGTGAAATTTTGTGAAAGTGGGGTTTGTTTGATACTATGTTTCAGGACTTCTTTTATACCCTTCAATAAGATCTCAGTCTTTTTCATATAGGTCTTCCATATTAAACAAATTCATACGTATTTCACAGTTTTGGGCCTTATTTTGAATGACTTTTTGGGTGTTTTTTTTGCCACTTATAATTTAAAATTTATATTGTGAGCATAGAAGGATATTCTTGGTTATTGTATATCATATAGTCTGCAACCTTATTATTAATTAAATAGGTTTTTTATTAGAGTTTTGGATTTTATAAGTATATAATAATGTAATCAACAAAAGAATAATTTTACCTTTCACCTTACACAATTTTTTCTTTAGTCACAAGGAGCTCAAAGATCATGTTTAATAACAGGGCAGTAGACAATATTCCTATTTTGTTTTAGATTTTAATTTATCAATTAAAAGTGTGTCATTATTTGGGATTGTTTTTGTTGTTGAGTTTTAATAACATGTCTTTAATATTTTGATCTTTTGCTTAGAGTTTTCTTCATGAGTAGCTCCTGAATTTAATCAAAGACCCTTTTAGCGTCTATTGATATGATCCTTTTTTCTCTTTTAATTTATTATTATAGTAGATTATATTAATAGTTATGGTAATATTGAGCCAATTAATAATATACAATATTCTTGTAAAATATTGAGTTATATTTGTAGAATTTTTACAACTATTTGTGAGATTAATCTAGGCTTTTCTTTTTTATGTTAGCTTTGTAAGACATGGTGTTACAGTTATATTAATTTCATTAGGTGAATTGGAATCTTTTGGTGATTTTTTTTTTAAACTTTTTAAACTCAGGGGTTCATGTGCAGGTTTGTTATATAGGTAAACTCGTGTCACACAGTTTATCGTGCAGATTATTTTGTCCAAACCCAGGTATTAATCCTAGTACCGATGAGTTATTTTTCCCAATCCCCTCACTCCTCTTAGCCTCCACCCTCTGGTAGGCCCCAGTGTCTGTTGTTGCCCTCTGTGTGTCCTTGTGTTCTCATCTTTTAGCTTCCCTTATAAGTGGGAGCTAAAAGATGCAGTATTTCGTTTTCTATTCCTGTGTTATTTTGCTAAAGGTAATGGCCTCCAGGTCCATCCATGTTCCTGCAAAGGATGTGATCTCATTCTTTTTTTTTTTTTGGCTGCATAATATTCCATGGTGTGCATGTACCACATTTTCTTTATCCAGTCTACCACTGATGGGCATTTAGGTTGATTCCATGTCTTGGCTTTTGTAAATAATGCTGCATTGAATATACATATTTATGTGTCTTTATAAAAGAACAATCTATATTCCTTTGGGTATATACCCAGTAATGAGATTGCTGGGTTGAATGATACTTCTGTTTTTAGGTGTTGAGGAATTGCCACACTGTCTTATTATTTTATGTATTATTGTCAGGTATGTTCCTTCAATGCCTAGTTCATTGAGGTATTTTAACATGAAGGGATGTTTAATTTTATTGAAAACCTTTTCTGCATCAGTCAAGATGATCCTGTGGTTTTTGTTTTTAGTTCTGTTTATGTGATGAATCACATTTATTGATATGTGTATGTTGACCCAACCTTGCATCCCAGAAATAAAGCCTACTTGATCATGGTGGATTAGCTTTTTGATGTGCCACTGCTAGGTTTGGTTTGCTAGTATTTTGTTGAGGATTTTTGTATCTGTGTTCATCAGTGATGTTGGCCTGACGTTTTCTATTTTTGTTGTGTCTCTGCCAGGTTTTGGTATCAGAATAATTCTGGCCTCATAGAATGAGTTATAGAGGAGTCCCTCCTTTTCGGTTTATTGGAATAGTTTTGATAAGAATGGTACCAGCTCATCTTTAGAATTCAGCTGTGAATCCATGTGGTGCTGGGCTTTACTGGCTTGGTAGGCTATTTATTATTGATTCAATTTCAGAGCTCATTATTGATCTGTTCAGGGATTCAGTTTCTTCCTAGCTCAGTCTTGGGAGGGTTTATATGTCCAGGAATTTATCCATAGCTTCTATATTTTCTAGTTTATGTGCCTAGAGGTCTTCCTGATATTCTCTGATAGTTATTTGTATTTCTGTGGGATTGATGGTAATATCCCCTTTATCATTTCTAGTTGTGTTTACTTACGTCTTCTCTATTAATCTAGGTAGCAGTCTATTTTGTTAATTTTTTTTAAAAAAACTCTTGGACTCGTTTTGGTTTAGCAACAGGCAGGAATGGTTTTTCCCATCTCACTCTCCTTCAGTTCATCCTTATTTTGGTTAGTTCTTGTCTTCTTCAAGTTTTGGGTTTGGTTTGCTCTTGGTTCTCTAGTTCTTTTTTTGTGATGTTGTTAAACTGAGATCTAACTTTTTGATATGAGCATTTAGTGCTACAGATTTACCTGTTAACACTGCCTTACCTGTGTCCCAGAGATTCTGGTACATTGTCTCTTGGTTCTCATTCATTTCAAGTCACTTCTTGATTTTTGCCTTAATTTTATTATTTACCCAAAAGTCGTTCGGGAGCAGGTTGTTCAATCTCCATGTAATTGTGTGGTTTTGAGCAAATTTCTTAGTCTTGATTTCTAATTTGGCTGTGCTGTGCTCTGAGAGAATGTTTATTATGATTTCAGTTCTTTTGCATTTGCTGAGTACTCCACATTTACCTCTTCATACTGCCTTACCTGTGTCCCAGAGATTCTGGTACATTGTGTCTTGGTTCTCATTCATTTCAAAGAACTTCTTGATTTCTGCCTTCATGTCATTATTTACTCAAAAGTTATTCGGGAGCAGGTTATTCAATTTCCACGTAATGGTGTGGTTTTGAGCAAATTTCTTAGTCTTGATTTCTAATTTGGCTGTGCTGTGCTCTGAGAGAATGGTTGTTATGATTTCAGTTCTTTTGCATTTGCTGAACAGTGTTTCGTGTTCAATTATATAATTGATGTTAGAGTATGTGCCATATGGTGATGAGATGAATACATATTTTATTGCTTTGGGGTGGAGAGTTCTATAGATGTCTATCAGGTCCATTTGATCCAGTGTTAAATTCAAATCATGAATATGTTTGTTAATTTCCTGTCTCAGTGATC